CGCCCACTCCACAGCGCCGGGGAGGGTCAGAGTGCAGAGGGCACATAGCTGAAATCCTCGACCCCTCGGCTACCAGGCAGCCGCACACGAAGTAGAATTGTATCTGGCACCCACAGCACCTGCTGTGCATATTCAGGGGCCTTGAATTGCTGTGTGAAGCCAGCTGCCCGGGGTCACAGAGTCAGAGACCGAAGAGACCCACCTAGGGAAGCATAAGGATACCGGATCCCGATCAACAATCACAGAGAGTCTCCTTTAACTCTTAGCAGCCTGCCCAGCCAAGGTGCGCATCAGGCCCCCGTTGCCATCATATCTGTGCCCCACACAGGTTGTAGTGTCTTTATCCTCCCAACACCCCTGTGAGCTAGGGAGTGCCACGGTCCCTATTTTACAGTTGGGAAACCGAGACAGCAACTGACTGAGTGACTTGCTCACAGTCACCCAGGAAGTCTATGGCAGAGCAGAGAATTAAGCCCGTCTCCCTCAAGCCCCGGGCAAGCACTCTAACCACTGGGCCAGCTTTCCTCCTGTGTGGGAGCCTAGGACACATGGTTGAGCAGGGCTGGTTCCACCCACAAGGGTCAGGGGTGCAGACGCCCACCCACTACCCAATCACAAAGCTGCGGCTCTCCAAAGAAGCCAGATGGACAGGGCTGCAGGCCCTACTACCCCGCACGAGGTATTTTCACACCGCCCTTTCGGGGCGTGGAGAAGCACTCTCCCCAGGCTGCAGCCCTGCTGACTCAAAGGGCAGAGCGTGTTCTGGGAACGGTGCACTCAGTGAAGATGAAATCCCAGGACCAAAGACCGATAGCCACCCTTCCTCAGCAGCCACGACCGTGCAAAGCAGCTGGGGCCCCCTGGGAGATCTGGCCCCGTTGTTCTCCTGGTTACAGCTGTGCCCAGGAAATTACACAGGGGTCTCGGGCTCTGCCTGCTGCTGTCATGACGTGCACACGACCAGTGACTCCTTGCTCTCTCGAGAATGGAAACAGGCCCTGTTTATCTCGGCCGCTGGTGATGGGGACTCAGCAGAAAGCGACTCTGGGCATCACAGCAAGGGACAATGGGTGCATTCTGGTATGACTGGCCATGGATCACCCCAGCACTCCCACGGGGGCCCTCTCAAAGGCTGCAGGCAGCGTGCACAGAGGTAGACGGTGGGGATACTCTGCGTCCCTGCACTGGTCCATTATGGTCACCCCCTTCCATTCGCCAACGCCACCTCTATAGCAGGCGACGAACGCAGTGCTCATAGCCCAGTGCATGGCCGGGCGCTGTCCTCCTAAACGCGGCGGGGTGTGGCGGAGAGGACATGAAAGGAGATGAGACACACAGCCTGGTACAGACACTGCAGATGGAGCACACGGATCGGACCGGGAGATAAGAGGCAGAGGGCTACGAGAGATACATAATAATCAGGTTCTACGCTCTCGCAGAGACAGAATTCTTTGCGGGCCGGGGGGAGGGAAGCTGAGAGTCACTCACCCATCTGGCTGTGCCTCTGAGCGTACACCATCACCACCGCGGCGAGCACCACGCAGCAGGCTGACGGGACAGGACTGGCCATCTGTGGAAGCAAATGAGAGGGATGGGTCATGGTTTGTCCGTCGGGTGAGAGCGCTCTGTACTCAGCAGAGAAACTCACCCCCCCATGCACCGGCGTCTGGCGAGGGGGCGTTGGGTAGCTGATGGCACGGTCTTGCTGAGGAGGAAGGTCACTGAGGCGGCCCTTAAATAGCCTGTGCAACTTTCCACTAGAGCTGAGGTGTGAGCTCTGGGCCCTGCCCACGGTTACTTTGGAGTAACTCCTGCGGACTTTGATGGGAACCGCCTGGGTGGAGCTGAGAGCAGAACGGAGCACTTAGAAATACCCCTTACACGTTCCTATGGGCATGTTATTTTCCCCATCCCCTTCTAAGCTCCAACACCCCCCCCCAAACAATCCCGTTAGTAGTGTTGCTGTGCATTGTTAAGCAGCTGCAGCACTCCACACCAGAGGTAGATGCCTCTGAATGGTGTGGCAGACAAACATCAGAAGAGCCACACTGGGTCAGCCCAAAGGTCCATCTAGCCCCGTATCCTGTCTTCTGACAGTGGCCAGTGCCAGGTGCCCCAGAGGGAATGAACAGAACAGGGCAATTATCGAGTGATCCGTCCCCTGGCATCCACTCTCAGCTTCTGTCAGTCAGAGATTTCGGGCTACCTAGAGCGTGGGGTTGGGGCCCTGAGCTCAGTAGCCACACATTACAATAGTACTCCCAGAGGAAGTTTGGAATCAGGTCCTATTTTTGAGCCAGCTCCAATGCTCTCCACTGCATCGCCCCCTGGAGCTGCCCGTGCCCAGGGGCCGGATCTAAGACATGAGAGGAGGTGACAGAACTCTGCAGTAGCTGTTGGTCTCTCATCTGAAATGGCCATAAGGCACCACAGACGGGGCGCTGGCCCGAGACCCAGGACACCTGGGTTCTATTCCTGCCTCTGAACTGCTGGGTGACCCTGGGCAAGTCCTTTGTTTGTCTCTTTAGATTGTAACCTCGTGCGGGCAGGGACTGTCCCTGATGGTGGATGTGTACAGCCCAATGGGACCACCGGGTGCTACAGTACTAGAAATAATAAATAGAAACAGCAACAATCATTGCATGCCTCCTCCATGCATCTTTAAGCCCGTGGGTCCCTCTGTAGTATGGTTATTATTATATTAGCCCCCAGACCTGTCCAGGACACTGTACAGAAGATGGGGTGACGCATGAAAGCCAAGTGAGGCAATTACCCTGCTCGGCCAGGCTGGGGGTCTGGTCTCTGTTGGCCCTGCATGTTAGGCGAGCCTCAGACACATTGCAGAGGAGAAGCAGCAAGAATCACCCGGGGAGCAGGAGCTGGGAGGAAAGGGGAGGCACTGGGCTATGTTCTGTCTGGGGAGGGCGGGGAGCATGAGAACCGCCTGCAGATACAGACAGGGCCTTTCCCTAGGAGAGAGGGACCAGTTATACAGAGTAGGTCCATGAGGAAGTCACAGACTAGAGGTTCAGCGGGGACGTTAGGGGAGCTGGGAGAAGAGTGGTTTGGCTGAAGAAAGGAGCTGCCCAGGGCTGGCGTGTTGGATTCCCCATCACTGAAGACGGCTCCAGGCTGACCGAAGGATGGGGCAGAAGTACCCCAGCCAATCCTGCCACGATGCAGGGGGATGGATATGACAATCCACCAGCGGTCCCGCCTGCCCCAAACGATTCTATAAGCCGCCCCTCCCCTGGTACCCCTTCGCTCCCAGCATGCCCGTTTGGCCTCATCGCAGGAGCAGCAGCCCCGCTCCCCTCGCAGATCCGGTTTCCATCCCTTCCGCGCCCGAGACGTGCAAGTCATCCGCAGAGAGTTTTACGAGCTGCAAGTGAGTCAGTCCATGCGCTGGCTCCAGCGTGGCAGGGGCACCGCACCATTTCAGAGAGCACGTGCCCCTCCCTGCCCGCGCTGCCGTTCTTCAAAAGGGTCGCTTTAGCTCGCTTTAACGTGCTCTGTTGGGGCCGGTGAGCTGGGAAATAACTCCGGTGCAGCTACGGGGGTGGGACCGCTCTGGAATGGTCCCACGGCCAGGCTGTAGGTAATCCTGCCTACATACACCCAGGCCTGCCTGCTCCACTGGCCCATAGACACGTGTACAATGCCATCACCGTGGCATCTGGCCGTATTATCTATCCCCTGCTGTAGCAAACAGACAGAGAGGACTTTGGCAAGTTACTTCTTTGGAGCTGTCTGCCTTGTGTTTGAGACTGTAAATGCACTTGGGCAGGGACTTTCTTCTATTTGATGTGTGCGTACAGCGCCTGACACAACTAGGCGGGTTCCAGCCCTCGGGGCGGGAGGAGGGAGAGTCTGGTCCTACTAGAATACAAATAGAATGAAGGGAAGTAATTTTCCTGGCTCAGGCCAGGAGTGAAAACGAATCTGGTGGCTCTTCCAGGCCTCGCCGATCATGTCAAGAAGCCGGCACACGCTTTGGCACAACTGACGCACTCTAAATAGACGTGTCCTAGGGAAGGTGATGGGGGCACAGCTGTGTTTGTGTAAGAAAATGTCCCCCTCCACTCCAAAGCATCCCCTCCAGCATCACGCATGCTGCCTGACCCC